TTGTATGCAGCATTCCTGAGTTCGGCCCGGGTACGGTGTTCTTCAAGTAGGTCCAGATTAACTTTCAGGTTTTCCGAGTTGGCCTCTTCGGTGAAATGTTGAACTCGGTAGGTCGGTTCTCCGAGCTCAACCGGAACCACGGCTTCGGAACTGTAAGTTAGGGAAAATGGGGTCTCGCCGGTAGACGTCCGAGTGGTAGTTCGGTAAGCCCACAGGACATGTGGCAACTCTTCAGGCCACGTTCCTTTGGCGGCGTCAAGTCGGACTTTGAGACCGTTCTTTATGAGCTTGTTTACAGCTTCAACTTGGCCGTTGGACTGCGGGTGGTAAGGCGATGAGAAGAAGTGCTTAATGTTGTATTCTTCGCACAGGGATTCAAGTCGTTTGCCTTCAAATTGTTTACCGTTGTCGGTTATGATGGAATTCGGCACCCCGAAGCGACAAATAATTGACTTCCACACAAAATCGACGACCTTCTGCTCGGTTATCGTGGCTAACGGTTCGGCCTCAGCCCATTTAGTGAAATAGTCGACTGCCACGATAGCAAACCGGACACCTCCCTTTCCGGTTGGTAGAGGACCTATAAGATCAATCCTCCATTTGGCAAAAGGCCACGGACTGTAGATCGATTTGAGTTCTTCGGGAGACTGATGAACATTCGGTGCAAACATTTGGCATTTCGGGCATTTGCGCACCTATGTGGCGGCGTCGGTTTTCAGGGTCGGCCAGTAGTAACCCTGTCGCAGGATTTTATAAGATAACGCTTGTGCACCGGGGTGACTTCCGCAAATCCCTTCGTGGACTTCTTCAAGAATGTATCGTGAATCAATTCACTTACGCATTTCAAAAGCGGAACGGAGTATCCCCTTTTGAACAAAGTTCCGTTGTCTAATGTGTACCGAGCTGCCCGAATCCGAAGTGCTCGAGCTTCTTTTGAATCTGGAGGTAAGGCCCCAGTTTCTAGGTAGTGGATAATAGGATCCATCCAAGTTGGTGATTTTTGTGATGTTACCGGATTGATGGTCGTGACCTCGGAAAGGGCAGTTGACGGTTGTTCTTGCTGGCCGATTTGGACGTACTCCGCGCTCTCCATCCCGGTACTGGACGCAAGTCGAGATAAGGCATCTGCTTGAACATTAAGAGTTCGGGGGATATGCTCGAGGTCGGCGGAGAATTTCGATAATTTCCGTTTGGCCAAAGAGAGATAGGGTGTCAACCGAGGTTCTTTGACTTCATATGAACCGTTGATTTGATTGACAAGGAGCTGGGAGTCTGAGAAGACTTTGAGGTGGGTCACGTTCATGGATTCTGCCAAATTCAATTCGGATAGCAGCGCTTCGTATTCGGCTTTATTGTTTGTTGCCGGGAAGAGGAACTTCACCGAGTGACAGAATAACCGATTTTCTGGATCAGCTAAGACTATCTCTGCACCTGCTCGGTTAGCTGTTGAGGAGCCATCAATATAGAGGACCCATGGTTGATTATTATAATGAACTATGATGGCCGGGGTAAACTCAGCGATAAAGTCAGATAAGGCTTGAGCCTTGATTGCGGTCCTCGGTTGATAATGGATGTCGAATTGTCCGAGCTCAATGGCCCATTTAACCATGCGTCCCGAGGTGTCAGGTCGGTGCAAGATTTGCCGAAGTGGATACAAAGTGCGAACAGTTACAGAATGCTCTTGGAAATAAGGCCGCAATTTTCGGGCTGCAATCACAAGTGCAAACGCCAACTTTTCCATCGGAGGATAACGTATTTCGGCATCGTGCAAGGCTTTGCTGACGTAATAGATGGGTGATTGCAGCAATCCCTCTTCGCGTATCAAAACAGCGCTAATAGCAGAATCACTGACTCCGAGGTATAAGAACAACATTTCCTCGGGTTTCGGCTTTTGCAAAGTCGGGGGAGAGACCAACGTCTCCTTGATACTGTCAAGAGCTTTTTGGCATTCTTCGGTCCATTCAAAACGTTTCCCTTTCTTGATTGCTTCGAAAAAAGGCTTACAACGATCTGTAGACTTGGAGATGAACCGGTTGAGTGCAGCAAGTCGGCCAGTTAGGGCCTGAACACCCTTGACCGAGGTTGGGGGAGTTAGATCCTGAATGGCCTTTATTTTGGCCGGATTGGCTTCAATCCCGCCCTGGCTAACCATATAGCCCAAAAACTTTCCGGATTCAACTCCAAAAGTACATTTCTTAGGGTTCAGCACCATGGAATAAGATCGGAGGATGGTGAACATGTCTCGAAGATGTGTTATATGATCAGAGGCGTGCACCGACTTGATGAGCATGTCATCAACATAAACTTCCATAGTGTGACCGATCAGTGTTGCGAACATTTTGTTGACAAGACGTTGATATGTGGCTCCGGCGTTCTTTAATCCGAACGACATCATAGTATAACAATACAGACCTCGGGCCGAATAGAATGAAGTGTGTTCAGAGTCCTCGGGATCCATAGGAATCTGATTATAGCCGGAGTAAGCGTCCATGAAACTCATCAACTCATGTCCCGACGTGGCATCAACCATTTAATCTATGTGGGGAAGTGGATAACTGTCCTTTGGGCATGCCTTGTTGAGGTCGGAAAAATCAATACACAATCTCCATAACCCGTTGCTCTTTTTGACAAGAACAGGATTTGAGACCCACGTCGGGTATTTGGCTTCCTTGATGAACTTATTGTCGATGAGTTTTTTGACTTCTTCTTCCAATGCCTTCTGACGATCCGGTCCCAGTTTCCTTCTCTTTTGCACAACAGGCCGGACAGTTCGATCGAGGTTTAGTTTGTGGCTAGCGACACCGGGGTCGATGCCCTTCATATC